TATATATATAAATAATTGTTATATATTTTAATGTGTCATAATATGTAATTTTTTATTTTTTATTTTATTTTATTTTTTTACTGGGGATTGAGCCCAGGGGCGTTCAACCACCAACCCCCCATCCCCAGCCCCGTTATTTTCTATTTAGAGACAGCGTCTCACTGAGTTGCTCAGGGCCTCACTAAGTTGCTGAGGCTGGCCTCCAACTGGCAATCCTCCTGCCTCAGCCTCTCATGTCACTGGGATTATAGATAGTCATGTCCCTCCGTGCCTGGCCAGGGCATAGTTTCTAAGTTCTATAATAGAGTGCCACTAATTTACCTTTTTTTTTTTTGTTGTTGTTGTTCAGTTTCCTCATCTGTGAAAAGTGAGTGTAGGGCTGGATACAGTGGCACATGCCTGTCATCCCAGCAAGCTCTGGAGGCTGAGGCAGGAGGATCTCAAATTCAAGGCCAGCCTCAGCAAAAGCAAGGCGCTAAGCGACTCAGGGAGTCCCTATCTCTAAATAAAATACAGAATAGGGCTGGGGACGGGGCTCAGGGGTAGAGGGTCCCTAGTTCAATCCCTGGTACCAAAAAAAAAAAAGCCCAGTGTACACCTTCACAGGGTGTGTACCCATCAACCTGTGCTTGGTCTTAGGCCATAGAAGGCCACCCCTCTTCCAGGAGGTGGGTGTGGACATGATCCACTGATGTCAGATGTCAGATGATCCCCTGCTCTGCCAGGCCAAGAAAATGGAGCAATTTGTACATGTTCCTGGGGCCGTGGAGTTTAACACAGGCCAGCCAATATTCTATTTCTTGCTAGAAGGACCTGGGAATGGGAGTTCTATGGAAAGGGGAATTCTTCCTAGTCAGGAGAGTTCAGTTATGACCTTTTTTTTGGTACCAGGGATTGAACCCAGGGGTACTGAACCCCTGAGCCCTGTCCCCAGCCCTTCATATATTTTATTTAGAGACAGGGTCTCGCTGAGTTGCTTAGGGTCTCTTAAATTGCTAAGCATGGGAGCTCCACTGGACTGGGATTTTTTTAATGGGGCTTACGCAGGAAGGGAAGGGGTTAGGACAGGAAAAGGTGTTGTTAGAGTCCCTTGTCCCATTGGAGTTGGTCAGGGGAGTTGGCTGAGGCTGGCCTCCAACTAGTGATCCTCCTGCCTCAGCCTCCCAAGACGCTGGGATTAGAGATGTGTGCCACCGCATCCTGAGGCCCTGTTTGATTTGGAGCCTGTGGGGAGCTCATGGTGGAGCAAGGTGCTCACTTTATGGCAGCCAGAAAACAGAGAGGAAGAGGCCAGGGCTCAGTATCCCCCTCAAGGGCGCACCCACAGTGACCCAAAAACTCCCCACCCGTTCCTACTTCCTTAAGATTCTGTAGCCTCCCAATAGTGCTATAGACTAGTTATCAAGTGTTTTTTTTTGCATATGGGCCATCGGTGGACATTTTGACACAGAACATAATACTCCTAATACTTCCAGATTGGCAATACCTGAATTTGAAAGAGGATACCTTCAGAAACAGTAGAGTTGTCAGGCGCGGTGACCCACGCCTGTCATCCCAGCGGCTCGAGAGGCTGAGGCAGGAGGATCGCAAGGTGGAGGCCAGCCTCAGCAAAACTGAGGCCCTGAGCAACTCAGCGAGACCCTGTCTCTAAATAAAATACCAACAGGGCTGGGGACGGGGCTCAGTGGTTAAGCGCCCTTAGGTTCAATCCCTGGTACCAAAAAAAAAAAGAAAAAATCCCCAAAAAACAATCGTAATTCTGTTTCATTCTCTGGTGGATCACAGCCATCCGGGGACTTGTGGGACTCCAAACTTTTCTCTAAGTTATGGATCAGCTGGTTACTGTGGGTTCATGACTTCTAAAGTGGAAGTTCCAGGGTTTAACTTGTGATTGAAATGCAAAATTGGAAGCAGGTTGGAGATTCCTCAGAAGACTTGGAATGGAGCCACCATGGGACCCAGCTGTTCCACTCCTTGGTTTATACCCAAAGGACTTAAAATCCGCACACGACAGGGATGCAGGCACATCTATGTTTATGGCACCTCAACTCACGATAGCCAAGCTAGGGAACCAACCTAGGAGCCCTTCAACAGGTGGATGGATAAAGAAAATGTGGTCCATATACACAGTGGAATATTACGCAGCCTTAAAGAATGAAATGACGGCATTTGCTGGTAAATGGATGGAGCTGGAGACGATCATGCTGAGTGAAATAAGCCAGTCCCCCAAAACCAAAGGCAGAATGTTCTCTACGATATGGGGACGCTGACTCACAATAGGGAGAGGAGAGAATAGCAGTGCATTGGATGAGACGCAGGGGAGTGAAGGGAAGGGAGGGGAGGGGACTGGGAGAGACAGGGGAATGAATGGGCGTCACTTTCCCATGTTCACATAGGAACCCACGACCAGGGACACCCCACAGCAGGTCCAGCCACAGGAGTGGGAAGTCACACCCCCGTGTAGGTGTGATATGGCAGGATGTACTCTGTCATCATGGAGAGCTAAAAAGAACAAATTTTTTTTTTTTTAAAAGTGAATTTAAAAAGAAAGAAAATGAAGCCGAGCGCAGTGGCGCACGCCTGTCATCCTAGCGGCTCAGGAGGCTGAGGCAGGAGGATCGCAAGGTGGAGGCCAGCCTCAGCAATTTCCTGAGGCCCTGAGCAACTCAGGGAGACCCTGTCTCTAAATAAAATACAAAATAGGGCTGGGGAGGCAGTTCTCCTGTCAAGGGGACCCTAGAAAGTGATCACCAGGCCCATCGGCAGCAGGAGGTCACGCCAAAGGGTCTGGCATGGGGCTGCTCAACCCGCTGTCCCCTCAGCCACACACAGAAGAGTCCTCGTGGCTGCTGGGGGGCCCTGGTAAAGTCCCTCCTCCCTCCCCGCACCCCCAGTGTGACGTCACCACGTGCTGCTCCAACCAAAGTGTGACTCTGCGGTGACCCAGGAACAGAAGGGAGCGCTGACCATCTTGGAAGCATCCATTTATAAGAGATTTGGGGAACAGAAATGGGTGAGGGACCCTGCAGTGCGGGGGCAGAGCAGGGCGGGGACAGGGGACCCAGGGGAAGGTCCCTGGTGTCTCCTCCAGGTGGGGGCAGGAGGCTGCTGCACCTCCCTCCAGGTCCGTGAGATCCTGTGTCACCTGAGGAGACAGGGATGACAATGAGCAGCAGAGTTCATCAAACCCACTGTCCCTAGACCTCCCGGGCCCTCCGTGTCCCCAGGGGTGAACAGCCATGGGAAAGCGACATCCAGGAAGGAGTCTGGGACATGAGAGGTCCACTGCGCCACACCTACCTGGCCTCGCAGAGTCCATCAGAGCCACTTTGTTCTGGAACTTTCTACCAGCCTGGTCTCTGTGCGTTGGTGCCACTTGGTTTTGGAGCCTGTGGCCCGCCTTGGGGACCGCCACTCAGCAGCACACGCGGGCCATGCCGGCAGCGATCCTCCTGGACAGTCCCCCACAGCACTTGGTGCTGTGGCAGGCAGGGCCCAGTGTGTCACCGCAGGGTGGCTGGACCGAGACCAAGCTCTCTTCTGGGGACCCCTGGGAGGGCTTGCTGCTGGTCATCTTCCACATGTCACTGCTCGACCAGGAGCCGGGGAGCCGGGCAGCCAGGCTGGCCATGGGGGTGCCCGACTGCAGGCTAGACTCGGGAAGGACCGGCTCGCTGGCTCTGTGGCCCTTCTTTCTGAGTGGCTTGTCCCCCATGAACAGGGGCTGCTCATCGGGCAGGATGGTGGTGGATCCAAGGGCTGGCACGCTGACAGACCTCTGGGGGTGCATGGGGACACTGGAAGGGACCGAGGGGCAGGGTGGAGGCCCAACCTCCGGCCTCAGCGGCTTTAGTGGGACCAAGCAGCTGGCCCCCAGGTTTTCTGGTACTGAAGCATGAGGTACGTGGCCATCGCTGCGTCGAACTTTCTGGCTTTGAGGGACATCCAGGTGTCACTCAGCTCCAACATGACCTTCATGATCCAGGGGTCCAGGGGAGGTTCTGTGCATAGACATGGTGGCTCCTGGTCCTCCCCCGGGCTCAGCCACGGGTGCCCCATGACCTGGTGGATCGTGGGTGTCTGCCTGGGGTCCATGGTCAGCATCTGCAGGATGAGGCTCCTGTACCTCTGGGGACCGGTGGGAGGGGACATCATACCTTGCATGCAGGACCTGCTTTCTCAGCTGCTCGGGGACCCCATAGGACGGGGTGCCCCAAATCTTGTGGAACTTCTGTCCAGCCTTGAACCTGTGGCCTCAGGTTCAAGTCACCGAGCTTGATATTGTCCCCCGGCATCAAGGAGGACATTCCCCACCTTCAGGTCTCTGTGCCCGATGCCCTTCGTGTGGCAGTGACC